AAGAATCCGATGGTCAGGGAGACACATTGGTTTAAAAAAAACCCCAGAAACCAAACAATCAAAACCCACCCAAAAAGCAAAAAAACCTAACAACAACCAAAAAACCACTTCCCAAGCCAGAAAGCAACCCCCCCCCCCTTCAACTCCATGTAAATAATGTTTTAAAGATACAAATTAAACACTCAGAATTGCTCAGGTTGGCGCCAGCAGTTATAGCAGCCAAGGGTGCTATAAACATCCTGTGAAGAGAAAATGCAGTTTTTATTGTTTTAGTGACTGTTCTATGTATGAGTATTTCTTAAACCGATTAATTGAAATTTACTTCACTGGATGATTGAACAGATTAATTTGAGAGAGATCCTGCCTGCACTTCAATTCAAATTACGTATTCATGGGAATGACTCTTTGCAAAAGTGACAGTTTACAGTGAAATTATAGGATGTTTAAAAAATAACGTTCTGAAATGTAAATGCATACTGCAAAATCATAGTGTGTCTAAATACTTCAGCTGCCTCCCTGCAAAAACTTGCACATCTGTAGTCTTCATGATAGTAATTGGGTGACTGATGTTACTTAGATGAAATTTTACAGAGTTAGTCCTTAGTTTTGTAGAGTTTAACAATGTTAGTTGAAGAGATTAACACAAATTACTATTACTGTGATATCGCAGGTTTTTGGAATAGAGAGACTTCAGTGTTTTTTAGAGTAGTATTTCTATTGCCAATCATAGTCATAAAGATAAAAACTTAATATCATTGTGTTTATTTGGAATTGGTTTACTGTTTCACTTTACTAAATGCTTAAGTTTTGTTTTAGAAAGAAAAATTACAACATGAGGTTTCCTTTTGGAACGTACAGGTCCTGTGTTATGAGTACACTGAGATTTTTTTCAGTGGCTGTAGTGGTACTATGTTGTCTTCATCATTTGTCCTCAGAGGTCCTGTAAACAGAGTAAACAGAGTATGATGTCAGCCAAGTGTTTTACACGAGTCTGTTGGAGCTGCTATGATGTCAGTGGGATAAAAAAAGGCTCCTGAAGATAATTCAGCTAGATCCCCTAAATTCTCTACAGGGTAGGAAGCATAATGCTTCCCCTGACATTAAATTATGTCCAGATAAATCAATCCAGCTGAAACTTGAAAGGTTTAGCTGCTTGGTTTTGTTTTGTTTTTTTTTAAATATGTTGCCTTGTATTTGGTGAATTGACTTCTTTGGTTTCAGAGTTGCATAGTTGATTTTTAACTTTTGTTCTTCATTACAATGGATGCATTTTTTAAAAAGTAAAATAAAGGTTGCAGATATTGAATCGCTTTTACAAAGTGGATAGAGAGTTTTATATGTGATGAAATGGGAAGCTGAAGTATAAAAAAACATGCTGCCCATTGCCATACTGCAAGATGTTACAGGTTGCAGGAAGCTGGAAATGGTCTTGGGTTGTATTTTTCAAGTATTTTATTCTGTCTGGCGCTCCCTCTGCCTTAAGTATGTTTCAAAAATGCGTTGTGTATGTTGATTCACGGGAAGGGATGTCTGTACCACTTTGTTTCCATTAACCAGACTGTACTTTGAAATGTTTTACTGGTGTTGCAAAAATCCATTAAAAGTAAGAAATAAGTAGTGGGAAAGCATGTTGGCTTTGATTGTTGAACATACAGATTTTTGCCATAGTTTTGTGTTATAAAAATGAGAATCTGGAAACTTTATGGCCATTCCATTCTCAAATGAAAGATTATTAGTCCTTTTGTAGCAGAGGTTCAATAAATAGATTTTAAACGTGTTTTGAGGAGGGGCACAAGCATGATCTTCGCATATCCTTTAGGTAGGGTTTGTAATAACTTTATGAGGTTTCAGTCACTGTATTTATCATTAAGTTACACAAACCTAAAGCAATTGGTCTGTAATTTAGAATTTTTGATGTAAAAACTGTTCTTTTGGCAGCTGTTCATAATGCACTGTAAACAAATCACATTGTGTGTAATGGCAGTTCTTTGTAGAGGGAGGACAGTGTTTCATGTGATTATAATAAAATTATTTTTAAAATAATCTGTCTTAAATCTTCTGCTAATTTAGAATAGCAATAAAGATTTTGGTGCCCTGATCTATCTTCTTGTTCCCTATCTGAACGCACATAAAAATTTTCAAAGTGGAATTTTGATGCTGGGGAAGATAAATTCACGTTACAACTACATTAAATTTTCTTTGTTTTATTTCACTAGTGAAACTCCTAGTAGTTACAGGAATTTTTGTTTTGGTAGCTTTTTGTTTTGCAGCAGTGAGGCTGCCATAAGTAATTTCTGGCTGCTTATTCTGACTCTTGTGGTGCCGTTTGCTTCCCCCCTCCATCCATAAAGCTGTTGCACCTCTAGGGAGGAAGGTTGGGGGGAGCTGCATTTATAACTGGATTAAAAATACAATCCAGAGTAAAAATAACCTTAAAATTGTTGAGTGTTTTTAAACAAGTTCATTAAAATTATTCATGCTCTTGCTGTGCTTTTCTTTCTCATAAGAAGGTGGAAGAAAAGATATAATATTTGTAGATGTACCAGATAAATTAAAGAGGAATTAAGTAAACAATAATTACAGAAAGTAATTATCTTTTTTGCAATCGAGGTTGTACATGTAGCTGATGTGTTAATTATATTCTTCCCCTTTAGACTCCTCCTAAAACACAGTCAGCTTTTACCTGTAAAATAGTCTAAGAGCACTCATTTTAAATTTTACAGGCTCTGAAACTGCTGTAACCAGAGTGTATGGGACTAGGATTGCAGCATTTAAATTGAATTGCTAAAAATTCTGTAAAATAACAAGTCGTCTCTAAAAATTAATCCTTTTTTCTTTCAAAACTGTAGGCTTTAGTTGTATCTAAACAAGTTTATTAGGTGAGAATCTGTTAAGTATGGAACTTTTACGTTTTAATACCATGTCCCTTTAGAATAACAAGCAAAGCAGCATCAATTGTAGTGCTGTTTGTGGAGCGAATTTTTTTCAGGCTATTAATTCCTTTTAATATATGTTACCTTTGGCAGCCTGTTTGAACTGTTTGTACAGTTTGTATATATAATGTATCAGATTAAATTCTTTTGAAGGCACTTGGGTTACAACAGTTACAGTTATACCAAAGTGGTGTTTAGAGAAAACACAGATATGCATTGAAATAGACTTTTTACTATACTAGACTTTCAAAACAGGGGCAAGTAATTAGTCTCCACTGCACTAGGGAAGGACAAGCAGTTATAATGTCTGGTGGTGGTGTTGCTGCTGGTTATACAGCAAGTTTTACTTGGAATACTGACTTTACTTAGAATATTCTGCCTTCATTACCCCGAGTACATATATTTTTGGTTGCAGGAAACTGATAGCTCTTACGAAAATTGTGGGTCATATTCTCCAATGCTGTTTTCAAAAAAGAAGGTACATTCATGATCCCTTGCAATTCTTTATTATATTAAGGCATATAATAAAACTATTTAGAGTTTAAATAGTTGTAATGTACTATTCCTCTTCTTTTTTTATAGCATATATGACAAAAATTAAAATCTAATTTATGTGCTGGTGTTTGGGAAGTGATTGAGTCATGAGTTATATTTGCCACCCCTCACAATTCAACACCCCCTAACTACCCCC